AGTCCAGAGAACATGGAATAATCTTAGATGCATATAAATAATCCAAAGGAATACTGGATTACATGTGTATTATTTATGCATATAAATAATCCACAAAGTACATTGCATTTCTCAGTATGATGAGGTTTTTACCTTTTTTTTTTTTTAACAGCTCTGGAATCCAAATTAGTCAACCAGTTTTGTGAAGATGAACATGGTACCTTAATATACAACCGTAATGGAAATGGTGCAAGCCTAAGTGGGCAGTCTTTCCATTCAGTATCTTCTTTACAGTACATACTTCAGAACAACAATGTTAATAGACAGTCTCTTTCAGCACAGACACCTGGAGTATCTACAGTAGAAAGTCCTCTGAGTCCTGCTGATCTTCCTCAACCGTTAGCTCCGGTATGAAAACTCAGCTTTAATGAGCAAAAGTTTTATTGATGTTTGTATATATCCTTCTCTGTTGCCTGATGTAACTTTCCTTCTACTTTTCTACAAGACAGGTATTATAATAGCTTCCTTAACTTGGTATGCTTGGAACTGGTTGTCCCATGTAAGAGTTCTGATGTTGCATACAGGCAGTTGTCTAATGGCTATAATTTATTCCTGATACTGTTACAAGGATTATTACTCCTGTGTTTAATGCAGTAATATTTGTGGCACAGTGTGAAACATAACATTATTAAAATGTAATTACACTGTAATAACTAAGTCTAAGAACAGTAATTAAACTCAACTGCAGTCTATATTTTTAAGTTTATAAATAAAATTCTGTAAAGGTCAATTAAAAATCATATATCGCAGGTTTAGGATTGACAATTCTCCTGGTAAACCAGCCAGGTGAGGTTAAAATCCTGATTCTTAACACTGAAATCAGGGAAGGAAAAACATTAGAAAACCTTTAAATGATGAAGGGCTTGTTTATTTTGAGACATTTCACAATATCTGAAAAGCAAAGAAAATTAAATGCTTATTTCAGACCAAAGTACCTCCTGTAGTAGTGTATGAAGCCTACGAAGAGGAACAAGAGGAGGAGGAACAATCATCCTTGCTGACAGTGGACACTGGAGGTACTTTTATCATCATTCATTTCTTCATTTTTGGCTGGTCAAAAATCAGTGTCTCATTCTGTTTCTTTTTGCCTGCAGCTGCAGTACCATTATTGCCATCTAAACCATCATCATCAGACAAAGTGATGACATCATCCCTTTCAACCGCAGGGCTCATACCAAGAACAGGTTATAGATCATAACTAGTTTTTCATTTTATTGCCTTTTCTCCTGATACTAAGTTTTTTCCTAAAGCTTTAAATCAGAGTAATTTTGTTCCACACTCTTAAAACTTCATGAGGCCAATCTGTGGAAGAGAATCCGTATCAGGATTTTATACAGATCTAGTTGCAGTTTTTGTCTTCCGAAATTCCAGATCCCACTGCTCCACTTAGAGTAAAAGCAAGGTCAACCTGAGACAGAACTCATAGACGACATTAAAAAAAAAAAAAAGACCATAGTGCTAACTAACTGAGGTGGGCCAGTGAGCAGGTAATTTGTCAGCCAAGAAGGGGCAGTCTATGGAGACGGGAGGCTTCATTAAAGACAGAGAAGATAATGATTTCAGAGTTGAACAGGAAGAATAGTTTTCTCATTCACAGGAGAAGAAGGAAAAATGGCGTTTAGTCATTTGAAGGAAATTATAGTAATTAGCTCACTGCTCAAAGGATTATTTTCATATGAAATGTCTAAATGTGTTCATCATTTGGGGGATTCATACCAGTTCCAGTAATAGTCCATTATGATGGGAGCAACAGAAGAGAGCAGTAGAAACATATTCCCATTTCTTAGGAACATGGGCATGACTATTATTCTGTCTCTGGCAATAACTTTTATTTTTTAAAAATGTGGTGTCAAGATACTAGATTCCAATGCAAAATTGATGTCACAATATTAAATTTGAAGGAAAAGTGTTTTCCGTCTCGTAGAATTATTAAAGTGAGTGAGACTAGATTAGGATCACAGTCCTCTAACGCCTACCTGTAGGAATCATTAGACCAAGAAACTTTACATTCAAACTTAACTAAGTATCTACATAATTACTACCATTGTATAAGTAGCACAACCATCAACAACTAGCACAAAATGAAGAATAAACTTTTATATTCTTCTCACTATACTAATGCCTCTTCCTCCACACCACAAAGAGAACTAATGTACTGAAGCAATGTACTGCAGAAGGATGATGGTCATAGTTGTGGTTTGAAAATAGCAGATGCAACAAGCTTACAGCTCTTCAGCTTACATTTCTGGGTTGCTCACAAGACTGGTTGCTTATAATTAGATTTTAAAAATCAGATTTCAAAACTGTAAGATTCATATTGTTTGCTCTTCTTGTATGTGGAGCTATAATACTATTATTTTTGGAGTTACTAGAACCATGCCAGTAAAGAAATGGTTTATTTGACCTACTAAAATGCACTTTTAACTTGCCTCCAATGATAACATCTTTAGAAGCAAAAGTGAATCTCAAACTGCTATATACATTAGCAGAAAAAAATAAAATCAAATCAGAGTTTGAAAGTTAAAATCTATGTAATACAATTTGACTCTTACAAACTGAATTTTTTCTATTCCTTTTTTCCTTTATTTCAGACATGGACCTCAGGTGCAAGTTAAGGCTGGATCAAGGGCCATGCCGTGTTTATATCATAAAATGGTACTATGATAAACAAGCCAATGCTTGTGCTCAGTTTTGGTACGGTGGCTGTGGTGGAAATGGAAACCGCTTTGAGAGTGAAGAAGAATGTAGAGAGGCTTGTGTATTTTTTGCTGGAGGTAGGAATTTATCTCTACATTAACAAAGCGCAAGTTAAAGATATTGATTGTTTGGGTTTGTTATCAAGTATCCAGCATGGTATGTAAAAACAAACACACTGATTTAAAGAATATTAACATTCTGAAGTCATATGCTCATTGATTAAAAAAAACGTATACCTGTGCGAGATCACTTAAACTCCTTTTGCATATCATATGATGTAGTCTTTATGGAACAAACAGCAATTTTTCATCAGTATCAGGAGTACAAAATTTCCTTTTTACTTAGATATAGTAAGGCCAGTATAGCATTTGTTGTAGTAATTACCCTTCTTTAGATCTTTAAATACTACCATTGTATAATCACTAACTATACTTCATTTAAAATTATATGGCTTTTGAAAGAATTTTTGGTCATTAAAATGATGTAATTTATTTTCTATTACAGGCATCTGATGTTTGGCATGAATACTGCAATGAAGATTTCACTTTTTTAAAGCACAAGTATTCCCATAAATCCTATTTTAATACTTCAAGCATAAATTACCAATTTCCAAATTATTTGCAAAGTACTACTCAGAACATACAGCAAATATAAATATAAAACATAAATACAGCAAATGCATCAACTTGTGGCCTGTGTGCTCTCTGGGTCACAAGATGGGAAGGTGGCTCAGCAGCCCACCTTTCCCAATCACATCATAGTTACATTTAGTCTTTTTTTCCTGTAAACTTTCCTCAGTTTCCATTAGCTAGCAAGATACAGGACAAATGCAGTTAAAGCACATCCATTGATTTATATGAGTGATTACAACAATAGCTGGAATCACTAAATTAGGTTAGTTAATGTCTAAAGTGGTCATCGATTCATTTCCCTTCTGAAAGCCAAGTCAAAATTTTAAATGCATTTTAATATTTTCATCTTTCTAAAAAAACTCTTAAATTTCTGTTCAAAGCATTGAAACACATCATAGAGTGTATTCTTTATTGTCTATCACTGACATACTGCTTTTTACCTTTATGTCTGCCTGTATATGATGTATTTCCTTTTACTTGACTTGTATACTTAAAAGCTTTTTTCTAATAAAACATTTCTAGGTTTACTGCCAGGACAGAGAACGGGTAATGGTACTTTTACAGGACTAAAAGCTTCCCTCACAGCTAAATTACACCTACTGTGTAATGTGCTCCTGATTAGGTAACTGGTTTTCTGACATAGCTCTTAACAAGACTGAACTTCTCAGGCACTCCTGCATATGAAACCTGACAATCTCTTTTGGTTGGGTTCGAGGATTTTTTTCCTGAACACATGGGAAGTTCAGCATATCAGCAACAAAAGATGGAATGTGGCCTCAAGCCGAAGACCCACTACCCTTCCTACTTGAAGACCCTCAGCAGTGAGCCTGCCTAGATGTGGCAACACATTGCCTTTCACATGGGCAGAGGGAGAGGAGAAGGGATGGCCAGCACCTGCAATGTTTTTTACTTCATGAAGTTTGCATCAACTTCCAGGTGGGTTTCAGTGGGTTCCTCACCAATTCAGGGACCAGCTCTAGGAAACAACCTGCCAAACATCGAGTTTTTTCCTATGATTCATACTTAATTTTTTTTTAATTGGTAGGCTACTGCCATTAAAATTCAGCTAGATACAATTTTCAAGTTATTTCAAACTAAAAATACATCACATTTAGTAAAAAAAAAAAACAAAACACCCCACCCCCAAAAAAAACAAACAAACAAAAAAAAAACAACAACAAAGCCCACAAACAAAAACCCTCACCAAGAACCAACACAGGACTTAAAGCTGCAATTTACTGAGTGAAGATTTCACAGGTTTCAGGTTTCCTAACTGTACAGGGAATTGGTGTAACAATCCTCCACGGCAATACAGGTGTTGCCTTGTACCAGGCAAAGCTAAGACGAGAGGAAAAGCTGGAACTACTGAAGGGGATGTTCCAACGACTCAGAGCATTCCACTCTCCTTCACAGAACGTTCGCAAAGGCCAAGGAGCACTTGGCGCTGCCGGGGCTGTACCTCCACGCCGCCGGGCCGCCCGCAAGCACGACGGCCAGCTCAAGGAACACACCAAACTGTTCGGTGACAGGAACCATCCCCATCTGCCGCCACCGGCGGCCGCTACCTCAGACGAGCTCGGGGCAGGGCGGGGCGAGGGCGGGCGGGAGAGAGGGCTGCCCCCCCGCAGCCAATCCCGATCGCTGAGGGAGCGCGAGGCATCACCCCCGTTGCCAGCACGACGCGCGGACTCGGCGGAAAGAGAGCTGTGTCGCTGCGCCCCGCCGCGGTTGGCTGCCATGAGCGCGGTGCTGGACGTGCTGTGGGAGGACAGAGATGTCCGCTTCGACATCTCCCCGCAGTGAGTGCCGTTGCACTGCTCTCCCCTTGCAGCGGGGCTTCGGGGCCAGCCCGGCAGCTGTCAGCAGGCCGAGAGCTGTCTCTCCAAGGGCTGAGCGCGACCGCCATTAGCGTTGCGGTGTATGCTGGGATCCTTCCCAGTGCGGCGGCGCGGAGGGGGAGCTGTGGTGTTCTGTGAGGGCGGGAAAGGGGTTGTGTGGCCCTTGGGGCTCAGGCGAGTTGAATGGGGAGGTCTTGCTAAGTGGAGTGTAGTCACCGTTTCCAATCTATAAAAGAAAAGGGAAAATAATAAAGGTTGGATACTGGAGGACTGAGGGAAGGGTGTTCTGTTCCTAGCGTTAGCTGGCGCTGAAACAAAAGTCAGTGCCTGAGGGCATGGTTCCAGTAGCTGGTAACAGGGCTCGGTGTCGCTGCCGTGGTGTCGGCAGCCTGAGCGCACGGAAGCGGACAGTGGCTGTGCAGAGCGGCCAGAGCTGAAGGGCTGTCACATCCCTGTGGCAGCTGTGTCCTGGTTTCAGCAGAGAGAGTGTTAATTTTCTTCCTAGTAGCAGGTACAGTGCTGTGGTTTGGTTTTAGTATGAGACACCGTGCTTCCTCGCTCCTGCGGGCCTTGACCTCTCATGAGCTGTGAACTTTGTCTGAGACATAAAATTTATGCTCTGGTTTCTGTGGCAAAACCTTGCATAGCTTTTGTAATACGGAGCTACAAATTAGCAGCTGGCTGATGATTTTGGGGATGGAGGCTGAAAGTGTGCTATCACACTTCATCTTGCTGCTGCTTATTTGACCATACTGAGAATACTCTTTGACCTCTAGACGCGCTGTCTGCAGTATTTTTAGAAACATGAAATTGTGTCTTGGACGTTTAAGCAGTTCTGTCTTTATTTTCTTGTAGAATTGTCATGTAGACAGAGCTTGCTTCCATATTTAATGCTGATGTTGCTATTCTTGCTACCTCCACTCTAATGTCTTTTGTGCTATTCTAGTGATGTATTATTGAGTCCATACTTTGTGTCTTGATCCTGATCTTCAGTAGTCTTAGAGTCTGTCACAGAATTCCACTCCTGATAATGTATTTTATTTCTGTCATGCCAATACACTGAAGAGATTTGGCCGCTTTACACAATACAAGTAAAATACAGCAAAATTTCACATGTATTTAAGTAGTTAGACCACTTAAATATAGCAGAATAAAACAAACAAACCAAATAATAATAATTTAAAAAAAACCAACAGCACAAACAAAAACACAAAACCAACCAACCAAAAAACCACACACACAAAAAACAAACCATACCCTTTGTGGATATTTCCTTTGCTGGCAACTATTCTTTCTCATGCCTAACTCCATTCCCTATGACCTAAAAGTACAGCAAGGGGCAACAAACTATCCATCAAAAAAAAGATGTTAATGCAACTTTTTGGATTTTTCCCTCCTATGTTCACATACTTTATACTCCCAATTTTGGGGTATAGTTTGCTTGGGCACACTCGCTACATAATTACTTATTGTTATAATTGGATGATGATGGTATTAATATTCTTCATATGTCAGATGTAGTGATATCAATTTCAGGTATATAATGTTGATTTGTGTGTGTGTGTGCATGTATATATTTTTCATTGTACATAGGATGCACTAAGCAGAAAAAGGAGGAAGAAGAGCAAAGTGGGAAAATAGAAATGGCCTTTTAGAGCATAAATCTAATCTGTTTTTCATTAGGGGTTCTTTTTCTTCCTTTTTTTTTTTTTTTTTCTTTTAGACAAATGAAAATGAGACCTGGAGAGATCCTTATAGACTGCTTAGAGTCTGTTGAAGATACCAAAGGAAACAATGGAGACAGAGGTAACTGCATACTCAGGGAAATTGTAAACTTTCTAATATTTAATGTGTATAAGTTCTTAAAAGCCCTGTCTGGTTTCCATTGAACTCAGTAGCAATGTTCTGTTGCAGGTAATAAGTCCTACCTTTTTCACAGATCTGTCTTCCCTTAGAGTATTTTCAAATGGGATCTCTTGTTCAAAGTTACAGGAAGGTAATAATATTGTCTCAGAATTGTTTAGAATTGAAAGCTTTGTAAGTATAATCCATTTATAAACATCGTGGTGATCTTTTGCTGTAATCCTGTTTAATACTTAGGTTTTTTGTAACCTAGTTTAAACTGAATCAGTAAGGAATATATTTATTTAGTGTGCAAGGGCATGAAGCTGCCAGCGAGCTGAGATGACCCTTCCTGGGGTTGGATGGGTTACTGTAGAGGGTATAGAAGTGAAGAAATTTGCATGTGACATAGAGGGGTGAGGTTATTCATGAAGACAGCTGCGACAGTTAACTCACTGCCTTCCCCTTCTCCTCCCCAGAGCAGTTCTGTACTGGTTGTGTCTTTGCAATTTTACCATAGGCAGGCGGATGTGAAGTCAGTAACTGTTCTTGGTTTGGTTTTGAGGAATGCTTATATATATGAGAGGTTGTTCCATCTGTTCCTTGCTGGATTTTCTCTCTGAGCATTCAAGAGAAAAAAGCATTGTGATTTTTCTGCTGGGGTGTCCTGTGCTTTTGTTTTTTTTTCCTGTCAAGAGGAAGGACTATTCTGTTGTTTCAAGTCTAGAGGTAATGTACTGCAGAATGGGACATTTAATTGAATTGAAATTCCTCAGATTAAAAATACTTACACTCCTTATTTCCAGGTAGACTGCTTGTGACAAATTTGCGGATTATTTGGCGCTCACTGTCATTGCCCAGAGTCAATCTCTGTAAGTATCATCTCCTGTTAAACAACTGCAAAGTTCTTGTTTCCTTTATAGGGGCATACTGGTCTTTCACAACTGTACTGATTACAGTATAGAATAGTAAGGTATAGTTCTGTTGCTCTGTGAAGTGTGAAATAAACTATTACTAATGAATCTGTTTGTAATCTAGGAACTGTTATTAATATTCAATGTTAGTTTCTCAAAATAGAAGTGGAAGAGTACTTCAGGCATATTTTTCATTTGGCGTAAATGGGATTATTTTTTCTCAAAAGAAAGAAAAGTTTGAGATTCTTTACATCTTACTTGTACTTCTTGTTGCCACCTGTCTGCTACTCACATTCAATATTGTCCTACAATTTTTATTCCCCACGAATACCTGCATTTCCAGATTTACTGTTGTAAGCTCTGAACAAGCTTCTAATTTTAACTGTATGAGTAGCTAACAGGGCTAAATTAAATATTTAGTTTAATTTGCCCTTACTTTGTGCCCAAATTATTTTAATTGCTAAGTTCCTAATAGCCAGGCAATACTGAAAATCTGTATTCTGTTCATAATGCAGAGTGGTTGTGCAATGTCCTTCTTTGGAAATATTCAAAACTCAGTTGGACAGTACCCTGAGCAGTACCCTGAGAGTTGGTGCTGATTTGACAAAAGCATTGGACCATATAACCTGGTACAAAAAGGACAAGGTCCTTTGCAACTTAGATTAGTCTTTGATTTTGTGGTAAGTTCCCAGACCATTAACCACACTGTAATTCTCACAAATAGCATCCAAAGCCGTGCTACAAAATTCAATATTGTACTTGGTTATTTTGACTTATTTTTTCTTGTTCTCAAAACTGTTCTTTTCTTTTTTTTTCCCCTCCCTTAACTTTTAGCTGTTGGTTACAATTGCATTATAAATATAACTACAAGAACTGCCAACTCAGTAAGTTTCAAAAAAAACTTCTTAAAATAATAAAGCTGTAATTCATTGTTTGTACCTATTGCAGTGTATTTCTATAATAATCTGAAAATTTACGTGCAAGAACAGTAATCGAATAATAATGGAAGTTTAGTTTACAAGTTGGGAGTGTACATTTTTATGGGAGTGTGGGTTTAGTCAGCTTCCTAGGGCAGTAAAACTGGTGTAATCACAGTGGTGATTTCTTCTCCCCTCTAGATAAGTCAAGCACATGTTGGTTCATTGTGTCTAAATTTAACAAAAGTCTAGATTGGCACTAATTTTGTGCAAGAAAGCTCTTCAATATATAGCCTGAATTTCATACAACTGTGAAGCAAAGAAGGGGAGATTATGCAGGTTCCCCTGGGCAGCTACATAGTAACAAACACAAAAATACTGTTTCAGTCATAATACTGCAATTATATAGCAGGCAGGCTTCATAATTCTACTGTTGATGGAATTGCTACTTTCTCAAAAAAAAACCCACACCTTAGTTCAGTTGAAGACAGCAGTAGAGCAGTGGTAGAATCAGGATTACATATTCAGATATATTATTTAGACAAAGAATTTATAAAATATGTCAAGATTATTTATGTCAAGTACAGTCAAGCTACTGTATTGTCAAAATGCTAAATTTCATCTCTCCCTTACAGAAATTACGAGGGCAGACAGAAGCTCTGTATATATTGACTAAATGTAACAATACCCGGTTTGAGTTCATATTTACCAATGTTGTCCCCGGGAGTCCCAGACTCTTCACTTCAGTTATTGCTGTGCACAGGTAGCATACTTAAAATAGTGTTTGTTCATTTATAAAATTCAATTAATTAAATATGTGGGATTACTACTGCTGATAGACCAAGTATATGACACCATATGTTAATATACAATTATTTATTTAACATTCAGAAAACTTTCCCAACAGAGTAGAACACAATCTCTAGAAGGAAGGGAGAGAATGATCACGTATTCTAGTAGGTAACTGTGCATGATGAAAATTAATGTTGAGTAATACCAGTCATTGATCACAGTTTATACACTTTGTGTGTACAAACTATTGGAACAGATAAAACCACAAAGAGCTAATTTCAGTGTGCATTTTCTACCTGTATTCTCTGTCTATAATAATTTACTGTAATTTTGGACCACTTAATGGTACCCCCCCCAAAAAAAAGTTAGATCCTGGTCAAAACTCTAATTGATCACAAAACAGTGGATGTTTCCCACCTGAAGATAAATCATCTGGATGAGTTGGTACATAAAACATTACCATAGGTTTCTGTTTAAGAGCTGAGGAAAACAGGTGTATATATATTGGTTGGTTGTGACTTAAGCAGTGAAAAAACAATTCTTCTATAACATGGGACCCAGAAGACTTATTCTTTGCAATGAAGGCTGGGAGATTAGTCTTAAGAAAGAAATAGTATGCACATGAGGAGTACAGGAGATCAAAACAGATGCCAAAAAAAAACTTTTACATTTAAAGATAACTTCACTTAGGAAAAGTAAAATGTAATGTTTTATACTGATGAAGTTTCAACAGTACTCTTCATTTTTGTGCAACATGGTGATAAAAAAGTTGAAAATATACACCATGTCATATTGGTGCTGAAACAAACAGTAAAGATAGTAGAAAATGCTTAAATGGTGACATTTATTTTTTATTTTTTGCAGAGCTTATGAAACTTCAAAAATGTATCGTGATCTGAAGCTGAGAAGTGCGTTGATTCAAAACAAGCAACTGAGATTACTACCACAAGAACAAATATATGATAAAATCAATGGAGTCTGGAATTTGTCAAGTGACCAGGTATAGTAAAAAATGGGACTATGTTGACTATAGCAACATTAAAATGTTTTGTCTTTCAATGTTTTGGTTTTGTAACCTCAGAGGAATTACCCTTAATTCAGTTCATCAGCTGATGCGTGTGGGGAAGCTGATCCCATGTATTTGTTACTCAGTACAACAAAGTCGCTTTTGGCAACATGAAGTCTACATGACATTGCTAATATGCAAGGAACTAGATACCCAGTTCCTGTTAAAAAGATATATTTGTCTTTAAAGCTCAGTATCATCCTGTAGGACAATCATGTTGTTTCCAGAGTGCTCCTCTGAATATCTGTGAATTTACATGCAGCTTTGACTGCAGTGTAAGACTATATTGTCTTTTGATTACTGGAAATTGAAAACATTGGAATAGGAATCTATGTCTTAAAATATGGAAAAATAAAGACTAATAAGGAAAAAATAGAAAACATTTATATTCTTTTACAGGGCATTAGTTGCAAGTATTTCCCAGAGCCATGAAACAAAATGGGAGCTGTTATTTCTTCCTGTGCAATTTTATTCCAGAATGGAAATAAGATCCATCCTAACAAGCTAAAAAGTTCTTTCCTCTACGTTCCCTTGGCGCACATCTCCACAATTGCCTAAGTTTAACCCACATGCCATTGTACTTACACTATACGCCAATTCCAGATCTGTACAGTTAAGAACACGCTCAGACGCTTCATGTACTCCCATGAGGTCTGCTATGCTGTGATTTGATCCTGCTTAGTTGCAGTAATGGGTGCTCCCATCTATTTTCACCACTTGGGCACTGTATCATTTGAAGATTGGCTCTTGTTCCCTTACAATCAACAGAAGCATTTTTACTGGTTTTGGTATGAAATAATCAGGCTTTTATTGAATTAAATATGAAGCCGTGTCCTGCTCATGTTTGAATGGATAACAGTAATCATTGTATTTGGAACAAAAAAAAGGCTGTATACTTCAGAGCAGTTTTAACATGTCTTTTCTTTAATAGGGAAATTTGGGAACATTTTTTATTACTAACGTGAGAATAGTTTGGCATGCAAATATGAATGACAGCTTTAATGTCAGCATACCGTATCTACAAATCGTAAGTGTCTTAACCATTTTCAAAATGAACTGGCATAAGTTCAAGTATTCAGTTAAAACTCCCAGCTGACCAAAATTAATATTTCATGTCCCACAGTCAAGGATGAATTTATTCTTACTAGCATCAACCAAAGGGTACGGTTGTTTGTTTAGATTTTTTTTTTTGGGGGGGGGGGTAGGCATTTTTGTGTTTGTGGGTTTTTGTTGTTTCGTTGGGGTATTTTTGTTGTTTTGTTGGGGGTTGGGTTGGGTTGGTTTTTTCCTGTCCAGATTAACTGGGAGCTTTTACTGGCAGGTGCAGATGTTGAAAATGGCTTGCATTTCCAATTTTCAAACTATTTAGGGTGATTCTTCATGCCACCTGTGTACACTGGGATTAATGATCTGTGAACCTGATGTTCAGAAATGAACTGTTACTACTCCTGATAAAGACACTCTTCCCTGAGGTTCAGATTTGTAGTGGTAAATGGGAGGGAATGCTGGGAGCCAAGCTTTCAGAACCAGTAATTATAATAAGTAGTGTTTAAAAAAAGAAAAGAAAAAGATAAAGCAGATTTTTATCAAGTAATTCCAAAATCTTTAACAAAACATTTTTACCTCTTTACCATTAGCGTTCAATAAAAATAAGAGACTCAAAGTTTGGCTTGGCGCTTGTGATAGAGAGTTCTCAGCAGGTAAGAACCTTCAGTAGGCTTTTTTTTTCATTGATTACATTTTCATATATAATAATTGCCTAGTTCCAAAATGTTACAGGGCTACTTTTAAGGTACTTAGTATTCCTCCTCTGGGGCCTTTTGAACACAGCTTTTGAAAAGCCCTCTGCACTGCTTAAAATGTCTGTGTGTTTTGGTCGATATGGCTGTTGTGAGTTAGAGTTTCTCTAAGCAAAGCAGCAATAAGTCAGCATGACTGGTTAAGTAAAATAACTCATAATAATAGTGTTAAACAGTATTTCCTGTCAGATTATTTTTGGGATCTGATTACTTCTATACTTAATCAAGACCACTATTTTTATTCTTTTTCACTTCTGTATGTGTTTCGCTCTAAGAGACAAAATTACTTTTCTTCAATTTGGCCTTAATCAGAAATGGTTTTAATGGTAGGATTTATTTTTAAAGTTCAACTAACTTTATGTACTGTATCTGAAAGCTTTTTTAATAACAACATCAAGCTCTAACAGACTAAACGTTTGCTGAGTAGCTAGGAATAAATCACTTAGTATCACTTCTGAATTAGTATCACTTCTGAATTTCTCCCACCCGTTTGCTTTTGATTTTCTGTGCAAAAAGTTTGTTGCCCATTTTTATAATGAAGAAAAAAGTTGTTTAAAGAATAAGCAATACCAGTAAATGTAGGGTTTTTTGTTGTTTTTTTTTCTCTGTGTTATATAGAGTGGAGGATATGTCCTTGGTTTTAAAATAGACCCTGTGGAGAAACTACAGGAAGCAGTGAAAGAAATTAATTCACTTCACAGAGTTTATTCTGCTAACCCTATATTTGGAGTGGATTATGAAATGGAAGAAAAGGTACTCTACTACTTAAATTAGGTACATTATTGTGTTAACAGCAGTAATAAAAATGTATTAAACATATTAGATATGTGTATTTCCCTGCCCGTGGCTTGGGGGATTGGAACTAGATGATCTCAAGGTTATTTCCAAACCACACCATTCTATGATTCTATGATTTACTTACTTCAGTGTTTTAATTTGCAGCCTCAACTTCTTGAAGATCTAACTGTGGAGCAGGTTCAAGATGATGTGGAAATAGAAGCTGACGAGCATACAGATGCATTTGTGGTAAGCTGTGGTAAAATACTTCTTGTTTGGTTATTCAAGTGTAAAGCTGTAATCCTCTTTTAAAGATAAGCTACAACCAAACTTTCTATATTTAAAACACATCTACATGCCTTTTATTCAAAGTGCTAATCACTGCAGGTATTTATTCTATGTATGGATTTTTAACTTAAGAACAAACTATTATTCAATATAATTAGTAGTAGGTATTTAAAGTAATAGTTGTGTGTAGTTTCTCAACACATTAAGATCAGGAATAACTTGAAAACTAGCAGTATAATATAATATAAACAAATACATTAAATTAAAACAAGTCTTCCTTCTCTTGGAGCAGATTAATAGATGGTGTTATCTATATCCTCAGCATTCATCTGAAATTCAAACTTTTTGGTTGAAAGATTTTTAGAAAAGCAGCAATTTTGGGTCACTCCTGACAACCTTTGCGCTCCTAACAATACCAGTTTAGCAAACTGCATTCCTGTTTGTCTCCAGTGTTTGAGGAAAGGTTACTTTTAAATGAATGAGATTACTTAATGCCCTTCTTCCGAGGAATTTCCAAATTTACTCCGCAATCTAACACCTGACTACGTCACTGAGACCTGATACCCTGAAGAGTTTGAGACTTAATTTCCACACGCAGAATGGGAAGTATTGTAGCTCTTTCCCAGATTCTGTCTGAGAGCAGAAAAATCTGGTTAATTAATCACAGTTACTCTGTGTTTGTTTCTTAGATTGAATATGATGATAACTGACATTTGATACTTAAGTTACGGTTTGAAATTGAATAGTAGATGCTGCTGCACATGAGGCAAGAAATGCTAGGATGCTGTCAGTTTGTATTCATATTAACATTTTATTCCCTTTATTTTTCAGTGTAACAAACATAATATGGATATTTTACCATTTAAAAATCTTCGTTTATTATGATGGAAACCTCAAAGATTGTTATTTAATGAAAAACAACATAAGCACCAACTCCTGTTAGAACTCTCTATTTCAACATAGAAAAAACCCTGTTCTTACACAGGCTGGTTTGTTGAAGACAGCTTAGCAAATACAGTTTTAAACCCAAGGAATTATTAGCAGATTTGGCTTTAGACTTTTTTTCCCAACATTTTGAGGAGTTTTTTTACCTTTCTTTTGCAGGCTTACTTTGCTGATGAAAACAAGGTAAGAACAGCTTCTTTCATACTATCAAATTCATGTTGTTAAAATGGGATAAGAAAATTAAAAAGTACCTTCTGCTTTATTTTCTCTTATACCTCGTGCATTCCAAAAAGCAACATGATGGGGAGCCTGTTTTTTCAGAAGAACTAGGACTTGCAATAGAGAAGCTAAAGGATGGATTCACACTCCAGGGACTCTGGGAAGTAATACCCTGATTCAGATTGTCACATATTTGTTTCTTACGCAAGGAAAGACTCTCAGTTCTTACTGGGCTTGTGGGATCTGTAGAAGATAATTTAGAAATACCAGAGTAACAGATAAAGAACATGCCAAAGAGTGGGCAAATATTGGATGGTATGCCCTCAGGATATGTCATAAAGGAAAGATTATTCAAAACCCTTGTATGTATAAAAGTGTTGTATTTATTACATTGTGTGAAGAGCTGGAGGACTACCAGTATCTAATGTAAGAAGGGGCAGGGCCCCAGCTGCTGGGGGAAGCCGTGCCCCCTGCAGACACTCACACATTCCACAAACCTCAGAAGTCCAACCCTTCCTCTGGTCCCACATCGTAAGGCCCCAAGAAGTCCCTCCTCTCTGTCAGGCTGTGAGGACCTGGAAGTCCTTTCCCATTTTATTTCCACTGCCATTATGTAAAATGTCATATGCCACATTTTCACTCTGCTTTTGATTGGCTGACTGTGGATTTTGACACGCTCATACCCAGGTGTTTTCAGGCTTGTGACTGACAGGACCAGCCATCCCATCCTGCTTCCCCCAGAAGGTGGTCAGAGCAGGAACTCCCTTCCCCTAACAACACAGGGTCCACTGTGGTGTTTCAGACACCATTTTATGGCAGGTAGCCACCATTTATTTATTTTTATTTTACAACTCCATGACCCATGTGTTTATATACTGCCCTGCAATGGGCTGCCAGGACCAGCCAACACTAGTAATTTTACCTGCAAGTATGTTGGAAAAGGAAGACTCCTCTTCCTCATACATGAAGACCACCATTAGAGATAGGGCAGTGTGGTTGATAGTTTGATGCTCAATTTAAAGTAGTCACGTATTTATATACAGTGATGTATTTTCCCATAATGATTACATCTAAATCAGAGGTCCATAACTTGTTAAATGTTGTGCAACACAGCAATATTATCATATGCAGAACATTTCGTATCTAGGCATATTGGTTGTGTCATTGCAGCTGTGCTGTTACTGAAAACTTTGACGAAGAGCAATACTGTTCCAAATACTAGTTTTGATGTCTCATAATCTTGTTAAATGTTCAGCACATAAGCACATATCATTCCAGAGATCTTCATATAGTTCTTTCTTTTTGACGTTTTGTTTAGTGTTTGGGTATTTGTTGTTGGGTTTTGTTGTTTTTTTTTTTCCTTAGAGCTCTTCTTTAAGGAATGATCTTGAAAAAAGTGCACACAAATAGCTTCTGTGTCTGAGTCATTAGACCTTTCTGATGTTATGTATTAGAGAGAAATGAGTCATTTATTGTTTAAAGGAAGATGCAGCTGTTATGTTTTCTAGTGAGATAAGACCTCTACGCTATTTTCTATAAGTGGAAAAAGTCAAATGAGCCCTCCTCTCAGCTGTTGTTTTAGCAGCTGACTGTTAATAGTAAAGTAACTGGTGTGAATGTAATTGTGGTGTCAAAAGTCTTTCAAGGTATGTATTTTAGTGAAATACTGCCTATGTTGAAAAGCAGTCACTATTTCAATAAACATCGATAATGTTATACCTCGCTGTAGATCTTGCATTCAAACAGTTGCATTTTGATCCTGTTTCTATTACTTTTAATGACCATTTTACCATATGAGTAAAAAGCAATCATGGTGTGGGCAAAACACAGCCCTTCACCAAGGTACATTAAACAGCTTAAAATTTCAAATTTATTTCGGTTCTGGATTACAACCTTAAATAAACATCTAAATGTTCCCAGTCTAAATTGTGAAATGTTCAACATTAGCATAATTTTTCTAAATTCACATTCACTTTTCAAACTACTTTTCTGATTGTGGGCTTTTTTAGTTTTAATTCAGATTTCTCTTTTTGGTGTTTTAAATTACACATTTGTTAAATAATGTTAAACTGGTGGATTCCATGTGTTTCATTCTCTGTTCTACTGTTCTGATGTACTGGTTTTGGTTTAGTTTAACAGCAGTTAGCACCATTTCTAGTACAGTCAAATTTAAAAGGATTGGTAAGGTCCAGAGTACCTGAAATGAAGAATGATGTTTAGTAAGGGGGTGGAGACTTAAATTATTTTTGAAAGCAGAACTTTACCTGACTAATGAATCTTTTATGTCTGAGTAGTAGGAGTTAGTTTACAAATAAATACAACCAAATGGATATTAAGAAGAAGCTTGGAATGAATTTCAAAGTCTTAATATCTGAAGAAATCGCAGATGTGATATGGGTATGTAAAAAAATAATTTTAAAGCGTAGATAATTGATGTGAAGTTCTGGATGCTTTCAGTATCTTTAAGTATTGAGAAACTCTGAAACAAACTGAACAATACTTGCAGCTGACAACTTGATTAACAATATTTCTGTTTCAGAATATTTGGTAACATGTATATTTACAATCTTGCTCATGGCTGTCTCACTGAGGGTCAGATTCTGCTGTCCTTACTCATCTCAAGTAATTTCTTACATTGCACGTAATCTCATTGATTCAGTGTGGAGCACGGTGACAAAACCTGACCATAGCAACTAAAGCAACAGTTGCTTCTTTCACTCTTTAACAGCTGCGAGAGAAGATCTATTTTTCCAAACCTGCCATCTTAAATTCCGACCTGTAAGAGTATGTACCTATATTTAGCTAGCTAGATTAAATTGCAGAGGCTTCAGGCAGGGCAAAGCACATTGGTCTGCCTTTTTTACAGACAGACCTTTGGGCAGACAACAGCTAAAGCTTTCTGCTCCCTCCCCTTTCCCAAGTGTTTGCGAAATGGATTCCCAAAGGGAACTCACTGAAGAGCTCAGACTTTACCAATCCACCCTTCTTCAGGATGGCCTCAAGGAACTCCTTGAAGAGAAGAAGTTTGTAGATTGCTCTCTAAAAGCTGGTGACAGAAGCCTGCCTTGCCACAGATTGATTCTGTCAGCATGTAGCCCTTATTTTCGTGAGTACTTCTTATCCGAGCAAAATGAAGAGAAAAAGAAGGAGGTGGTTCTAGAGAATGTTGATCCCAACATCCTGGATATGATTGTCAAATACCTTTATTCAGCAAGTATTGATCTTAATGATTCTAATGTGCAAGATATTTTTGCTTTGGCCAGTCGCTTTCAGATCCCTTCTGTGTTCACTGTGTGCGTCTCCTACCTTCAGAAGAGGCTTGCTGTTGGTAACTGTCTGGCCATCCTTCGATTGGGTGTTCTGCTTGATTGCCCAAGACTTGCATTTTCTGCCCGTGATTTTATTTCAGATCACTTTGTGCAGATCTGCAAAGAGGAGGACTTCATGCAGCTTGCCCCGCATGAACTTATCTCAGTTATTTCACCTGACAGCTTAAATGTAGAGAAGGAAGAACTGGTATTTGAAGCAGTAATGAAATGGGTCCGAACAGATAAAGAGAACAGAGTAAAGAGCCTGGGGGAAATTTTTGACTGCATACGTTTTCGTCTTATGCCAGAAAAATATTTCAAAGAACATGTTGAGAAGGATGATATAATCAAAAGCAACTCGGACCTCCAGAAAAAAGTAAAGATTATTAAGGATGCTTTTGCTGGAAAACTGCCTGACACAGGCAAAAGTACAGAAAAGTCAACCAAAGGGGAGGTGAACGGTGATGTAGGAGATGAAGATTTACTGCCTGGCTACCTGAATGACCTTCCCAGGCATGGCATGTTTGTCAAAGACCTAATACTTCTGGTTAATGACACTGCTGCAGTAGCTTATGATCCTCTTGAAAACGAATGCTACCTAGCAGCCCTGGCAGAACAGATTCCCAGAAATCATTCCAGTATAGTCACCAAACAAAATCAGGTCTACATTGTTGGAGGACTGTATGTGGAAGAGGAGAACAAGGATCAGCCTTTCCAGTCATACTTCTTCCAGGTATAAGCTTCATAACTGGTGCAAAAACAGGTGCTTATAAGAGTTACTGAAAGGTATTTTGAGTCTATGCAAGTGAGTTGTTTAGTCTCTCTGCACAGTCAATGGAGAGAAGTACCTGTAAAGAGCTATTCCTGTCTCAGAGAGATAAATGAAACCAAGGGACTTGCATGTTCTCTTTCAAGATCAAGCCCCTGGTGAGATCTTAGAAGAGATGAATAAGAGTAGTGTATTATATCTAGGCACTGGTTTTCATTGTTTAAGGCCCAGATTTTTCATGGTATAGATGCCTAAATTTAAGCCTAGTAATACTTCTGTAAAACACCTTTTGTGAGTTCGTGTTAATTTCCATGAAAGCAGAATGTTTTGCTGCTTTAGACATAATGAGATGTCTTTCTTTTTTCTGAATCTGAACTATTTTTGTGACTGCAGTAATGTGTGTATTTTAAATGCCACTTTTGTTGATAAAATTCCAGAAGTCTTTGTCGCATCAATATTAGAAACAGGAGGGCATTCTAAAAATACAGAATTTAGCTGTAGAAGGTTGTTTTCTTGGCAAACTGTCAACGGCAGTAAACTAAATACCATCTTTCAAATGAAAGCATAATTTTATATCTTTGTAAATCTGTAGAAGACCGATTAATACAAACTGTAACTTGCACAACATGTTTCAGAAAAATGAGCAAAACTCCAATCTGGCATGCTTACACCATAACCTGTTGTGGTTTGAGCTACCTGCCTACATGCTTGGGGGAATATTTAAACTATCTGCTAATAAATTATGCAATATGCTGCTGGCCACATCCCATCTTTAGGCCTAAGAGAATGAAAGTAGGTCCTTATTCAAATATGAAATAAAGCAGAGTGATAAGCAGTGATGGAATTTTAAAGCCTTCAGATATTAAAAAAATCCAAATATTAAGTGTTCATACGAGTATGGCTTACTACAATTTCATACACAGTGAAAGTGCTGGTTTCAGGCATTTGTTATACCTATGAGAGGGAAGTCTTAGTTTGCTGGAGAGGGATTAGGACTGTTTCATTTCCATGTAGGTGTGAAACACTGACCACTGAAGTGCAAACTTTGTTACAGAAATATTATTCTAATAGAAATACTGTGTTGATGTCATAATATAATCCAGAAACAAACTGTCCATGTCTCAGGCCACTAGAAAGGGGCCTCTGAAAAACTTAACCTGAAGATTGATATTAAAAATTGATAAAGTTTTCAGAATTCTACTTTATGTGTCTATGTACGTTTCCTGAAATCCTGATCTCTTGCTTGTCATCTTAAAGTTTCCTTGCTGCTGCTACTGCCTATAGTTAAAACACTTCTCTGCAATATTGATGTGGCTGTTGTTCCCTCTAAAATGGTAATGTGGTGCCAAACCAATTTGCATTCAGTGATCTCCCTTGCTCCACCAGTGGAGCACCTGTTACCATTTTATTTGGTAGCAACCTAGGAGCAAACAAGGCTGCCACTGCCTCAAAAATGCATGACTAGTTTATGCCAGTATCAGTAGGTACGTCATCTTCAAGAGTGATTAACTAGTGTGCTGTGATCTGTGATGGGTACATCTTCTTCTCATTAAACCACCCAGATACAGGTGCTGGGCTAATCCCATGAACTAAATTTCACTGTTGCAATAAAGCAATAGGGGTGTCCAACAGGGGTGGTCTATCAAATCTGGGAGATGCATTTTAGCATGGAGACCTTGACTGTGAAACATACATCTGGAAAAGGTTGTCACAGAGCTAAACCCAGGCCTGACTGCTTTGACTGAACTTTCTCTTGCTTTCTATCAAATGCCTCTACATTTGTGCAAACTTGCATTTTACTTTCCCTTCCTGCACATTATGAAGCAAATCTGTACACAGTAGAAGAGAGAAGATAGATACTCTTTTCAATGTTAGAAAGCATTCAAGTTCAATTGCAAGTTCTCAGATCAAAACAAAAATTGAGCACCACAGTTCTAGAAAAACACTGTTTTGTTTCGTTTGTTTGCTTTTTCTTCTGTCCTCCTTCTGCTGCTTCTCCTTAGGTGTTTTCAGCATACTGAATATGAATCAAAACAGCCGTGGGAGTACTTCAATAGGGATGACATCAATATTATTGCCAAGGGAGCTGCACTGCCTGCCTTTTTTGCTTAGGAA